TTGTATGTTTTTTATTTTATACATTTTTTAATGTTTTATGTTGCAGTGAAAATCCGCTGACTACTTATAATTATCTTAGAATAGATTTGTTATATATATATTATTTTACTAAAAAGAATTTCTAAAAATGTATTTCTATCGATTTTATAATTCATATGAATAAATGTGTCCTGTGGTTTGATGCGCAGCGATGCCGGGATGGAGACGTCTGTGGATGTATCCGAAGGGAAATTGGCGAACGACGCGATACTCACGCCGACGCAATCCGCTGCTCATTTTGTAGGCGACAGCGATTGGAGTTATGAGTTTCACGAGAATCACGGTAGAAATATACAGCTTGAGAACAAAACTACCGCTCGGAGAGTCGCAAGTTATAATCAAGGTACTTTCGATGAACTTATTGTTGGATTACCGATTTCTAAAAATACTAGGGGTGTACTCGGAATTTTCGGGCCGGGTCAGGTCAGGTCATGGGACGATTCGATAATCTAAATGAAAAGAAGTCATATAAACAAATTTATACATCTTATTCCGTCTTCTCTCACGGCGTTTGTTTAAGGATGTATTGGCTATACAGTCAATCCCAAAAGTTTATGTATCTGAGAAAAACGCGTTTCCTATAATTAAAAAGAAATCAGACGTCGGAAGAACAATGCTAATAATAAATAGCTACGTGCTGAAAAGTATAGAAGGAAATATACAATTAATTATTGACGCTCGCGAAAAGCTTTTTGTACAGAAGTTGTAGGCACTGAAATCCTCTACAAGAAAGGTTCTATGCATTTTTCTTCTAACTCCAGTATTTAACGAGTTAAGTACAGTTAATTGGCATTTTATTGGCATTGACGAAATCCGACCGTCCCACTGTCGAAATGGTGAACTTTTGGCAAAAAATTTCGTTTTTCCTCAATAACTCCTAAACCGTTAGTCCTACGGGAAAATTGCATGAAACCTTTCTTGTAGAGGATGATGAGATCTACAATTTCTGTATAAAAGTTTGTCGCTAGCATTAATAGTTTACGAGTAATTTACAAAAACCGAAAAAACAGTTTTTCGCAAATTACT